TAAAATGGTACATAGATGCATGTGCTGAAATAACACATATATGTATGTGCTAAAATGGTACATAGATGCACATGCTGAAAAAACACATATATGTTTGTGCTAAAATTGTACATAGATGCACATGCTGAAAAAAACAGATGTATGTGCTAAAATAGTACATAGATGCACATGCTGAAATAACACATAGATGTATGTGCTAAAATGGTACATAGATGCACATGCTGAAATTACACATAGAGGTATGTGCTAAAATGGTACATAGATGCACATGCTGAAATAACACATGGATGTGTGTGCTAAAATGGCACATAGATGCACATGCTGAAATAACACATAGAGGTATGTGCTAAAATGGTACATAGATGCACATGCTGAAATTACACATAGAGGTATGTGCTAAAATGGTACATAGATGCACATGCTGAAATAACACATGGATGTGTGTGCTAAAATGGCACATAGATGCACATGCTGAAAAAACACAGATGTATGTGCTAAAATGGTATATAGATGCACATGCTGAAAAAACACAGATGTATGTGCTAAAATGGTACATAGATGCACATGCTGAAACAACACATAGATGTATGTATTGAAATTGTCCATAGATGCACATGCTGAAATAACACATAGAGGTATGTGCTAAAATTGTACATAGATGCACATGCTGAAATAGCACATAGATGTATGTGCTAAAATTGTACATAGATGCACATGCTGAAATAGCACATAGATGTATGTGCTAAAATGGTACATAGATGCACATGCTGAAATAACACATGGATGTATGTGCTAAAATGGTACATAGATGCACATGCTGAAAAACACAGATGTATGTGCTAAAATTGTACATAGATGCACATGCTGAAAAAACACAGATGTATGTGCTAAAATGGTACATAGATGCACACGCTGAAATAACACATAGATGTATGTCCTAAAATGGTACATAGATGCATATGCTGAAATAACACATAGATGTATGTGCTAAAATGGTACATAGATGCACATGCTGAAATAACACACAGAGGTATGTGCTAAAATTGTACATAGATGCACATGCTGAAAACACATGGATGTATGTGCTAAAATGCTACATAGATGCACATGCTGAAATAACACATAGATGTATGTGCTAAAATTGTACATAGATGCACATGCTGAAAAAACACAGATGTATGTGCTAAAATGGTACATAGATGCACATGCTGAAATAACACATAGATGTATGTGTTGAAATTGTCCATAGATGCACATGCTAAAATAACACATAGATGTATGTGCTAAAATGGTACATAAGTGCACATGCTGAAATAACACATAGATGTATGTGTTGAAATGGTACATAGATGCACATGCTGAAATAACACATGGATGTATGTGCTAAAATGGTACATAGATGCACATGCTGAAAAAACACATGGATGTATGTGCTAAAATGGTACATAGATGCACATGCTGAAAAAACACATAGATGTATGTGCTAAAATGGTACTTAGATGCACATGCTGAAATAACACATACATGTATGTATGTGCTAAAATTGTACATAGATGCACATGCTGAAATAACACAGATGTATGTGCTAACATGGTACATAGATGCACATGGTGAAACAACACATGGATGTATGTGCTAAAATGGTACATAGATGCACATGCTGAAATAACACATAAGATGTATGTGCTAAAATGGTACATAGATGCACATGCTGAAATAACACATAAGGTATGTGCTAAAATTGTACCTAGATGTAC